CAGACACACTGTCTAGCCATGGGAAAAATCAGAGTCAAGTCCAGGACCCAAGAGACCCAAATAATTTAAGGTCAAGACCATGGGCAATCAGATTCAATAAAAATATTGAGTTTTTAGAATGGACAAGCAGGTCAGAATAATAACATGTGCCTGAGGATTCTGAATCCCTGGTGGCCTTGTGAGGGTCCTCATGTGACACTGGCTTACACAACTATCCCATCTGCTCCCTTTCAGGCCCTAGTCCCTGGGAGATACAGGGGAGTCCAGGCTGTAAAAAGGAGAGTCCAAGCAACGAGTTCTCTCATGTCCTCCAGCCACTGGAGCCATGTCCCCTAGGCTCACACCAATGGAACCAATTTTAAGTTTTCTTCCTTTCACTTCCCATTACTTAATCTGTCCTTTGCACACAGAAACTTCTCTTCTGCTAAAATGTTTCCCTTGCCTTCCACTTCTATTCCAGCCCCACTGCCACCATCCTGCATCCAGCCCTTGTCAGCTCATGCCTGATTTAATTCAACACCTTCCACACAGACGTCCCTGACTTCAGGGTCTGCTGACTCCAACACATCCAGCACTACTTTGAGGATAATCTTCCAAGGGTAATGTTTGCATCCTGCTAGCCCCATCTCCAGGGCCTACAGAGTCTCCCACCTTGCCAATCCCACTACAGCTCTCCTCTTGTCGGCCAACCTGACTGGCTTCTCAAGGCTGCATGTGATTTTCTTTCACGCACTTTCAAGTATCATTCCCATGAGTTAAAATGTTCTCTCCCTTCCTCTCTGCTTATGCATGTTTCTGACTGCCCTGCAAAAGTTAGCTTAGGCTGACACCTTTTCTCCACACATCTACTAGAGCAATAACATTCCTCAGTTTGTGCCTAGACTTGGGTCTTTGTGGGATAAACTATGAGCCTCAGCTCCCTCCTGGGCACCCAAGGATTAGCCACTGAGTTTGATCTTGATTCTTCCCCTCGTGCCAGCTATGGAATACAGCTCCACTGTGCAGTAATTCTCACTTGGTAATATGTTAGTTTAGAAATGTTGTGACTTCATTTCAATCTCTCTCATGATTTGGACAGAAATTCCCCAAAGGCAGTGGCTCTGCTTTCTATTTGCACCCTTCTGATCACGTATGCATAACTGCACACTGCCAGCTCCAGGACTGTATGCGGTTGCCTGCTCGGTGTGCACAGATGGCCCCAGGGAAACTGACCTTTCTGTAAGAACAGTAAATTGGAAATAATCTCAATACTCAATCTTATAAATATGTTATGGGATATCCTTATGATGGAACATTATTCAGACCTTAACAACATTTCTGTAGGGTTTTTAATAGGATGAGAAAGTATTATTATATAAACTTGCTTTATATATGCAGTGTTTATATAAATGTAATAATTTATATAATTATTGTTATAATTTTGTTTTAACATTATGAGAATAGAAAGATGATAGGAAATAAGGAGGGAAGGTGGAGTAAAGGAAGGAAAAAAGCAAGGTAAGCAGAAAGGAAGAAAAGAAAGGAAGGAAAGACAAAAACAATAGATAAACTAAAGGATAAAAAACCCAAGGATGAGGAAAGAGTGGTGCTATCTAAGTAGTTCTTGGTTTGTTTTTCATTTATTAACTTTCTTCTTTATATTTTCTGTGCCTTCTGATTTTCTAAAATTTGCATTGATATAAACTCAAAATGTAAACTATATTAAAATTAATATTGCTTACCAAAATGTCACACTTTCAAACAGTATTTTAAAAAGTTAACATAGAGGGAAAGAGTAGACAAGTTACAGGGTAGAGAAATTGATTGATAACTAGGAGAACAAATCTTTGACATTCAAGAAATTCCCAGCAGATATAGAAATGATGGATATTTTCAGTGGGTAACACCCCATTCCCGAGAAACTGTTTGGTGTTTCCATTTTGATCATGTTACCAATTCCATCCCTTGAATGACAAAGGTACCATGTCTGTCTCCACTACCAACAGTGCCCCTCAGTCATTGTCACTTGTACCTCTCTTCGCCTCTACAACCTTTAGTCTACATAAGAAGATAAGCCTCCTGTGGAAATTTGGATGGGGCAAACAAAATAAAGAAATATGAGACATTATAACACACCTCCCAGTCTGTTATAAGACAGAACTTTCCTGAAGAATCTCCATATTCTAACTCAGGATAAGTAGGTCTTGGGGCTAACTGGCCAAGAGGTTGGGACCAAAGCCTACTTAGTACCTGAGCCGAAGGAGAACATAGACTTTGGAGTGTAGTTGCCCCAAGTGTCAGGAGTTTACATGACATTTCTGAGAACCAGAGTACTCCATGAATCCAGTATTGTGTCATTTAATTTTTGATATTTAAGGAAAAAAGTCATGGAATGTTTGATTATGTTATACTCTGACAGATAATACAGGGCATGAGGAAATGCTACATAGGGCAGTTAGAACCCAGAAGAGCTGAGCAGATGATTGCATGCTTCTCTGTGTGCACATGCTAGCACACATTACAGCACATGTGTGAGAATCACTGCACTTCAGTATGCCTATAGCACCATTTGGTTCTGCTTAGATTATTACATATTTTCAAACACAAATTGAATAATGGCCACTTTTGCCCAGCAGCATGAAGGGCTGCAATGTTTCAAATTAACCTTGTCTCCAAAGGAAAACTTATGTTCATGACACAGCAAGACGGCAAGCAGCTTCTATCTGCTGCCCTTGTTATAATTCAACCCAAGATGCTGAAAGGCATTTTGGGTCTTCAGGAGCACAGGTGAGCAGAGAAGGGTTCTGTTGGGGCACAGTCTGGCATAGGAGGTAGAGAATCAGCGGAAATGCCTGTGGGCCTGGCCCTTGCAGGGCAAGAAATCACGGACATCTGTCCCCTTGTCCATACCCAAAGGGGCCTGTGGCAGTGATAGTACTTACCATGCATTCACTCATGTTACAAACACTCTTTGGATGCTTACTATGGACCCCATAGTGCTCTACACATGTGTAATACATTTGTAAATACAGCAGTGAGCAAGATAGGCAAAATCCTTTCCTTTGTAGAATGTGTACTCTAGAAAGGGATATTGTGACAAACTTGATTTTAAACTGGATTGGATTAAGAGATACTTAGAGAAATGACTGGCTTTGAGGATGCTGGTTTCATCACTGGATTAATCCTTTTTAGTTGGAGTCATTAGGATGTAGAATCTAGTTGGAGGAAGTGGGTCACTGGGGTCCTGCCATTGAAGGCTATATCTTTTCTTGGACATTCTCCCACTCTCTCTTCTTTCTGGCTGCAGTGAGGTGAACAATTTTCCCCCACCAGGTCCCTCCACCACAATGTTTCCTTGGAGCCAGCTGACCATGGACTGAACCCTCTGAAACAGTTGGCCAAAATAAAACTTTCCTCTTTTCAGGTACATGTCAGATATTTTGTCCCAGAAATGAAAAGGCAACCAACATAGACACAAGGCATGAGCAAATAAAGTACATGTTACATAATGTCAGGAATGGTGACTGATACCAGGGGTGTGGTAAGAATCAAGTGTAATCACAGTATTAGGGTACTCTTCTAGATGGGGGTCATCAAAAAACACCCTACCTATACAGCTTGCACTGGGACAGGGCTTTTAATAAAGGGAGGGGAAAGCAACAAAAATATCAGAGGAAACAAAATTCTCACAGGCAACAGAAAGTGCAAAGGTGCTGAGGCCAAAACATGCTGAGAATAAGTAAGATAGAGTGCTTTTAGATTGAAAGTATGAAAAGTGGTATGTGATTCAACCGGCAGGCCATAATTAGACAGGAATGAGGTGGAGAAGAATGAAGGAAAGGAATTTTGTAAAAGAGCTTAGGTCCAGGTCATACAGAGACTTGGAGGCCATGGTCAGAGAATTTCAATTTCATTCTAGCTTGGGAAGCGAAGTGTAGGAGGGTTTGAGATGTGTAATATGAGGGAGCATTTATTATGTTCCTAATTGAACTTTACCTTTCACCTCCCATTGCTCATGGAAAGTTATCTATCTCTAAGACAAAGATGTGCACCGACAGCCCTGGGCTCCATCTCTTCCTCTGGACTCTTCCAGCAGCTTTGCCTGGCTCGGGACCAGCCCGGCAGCATTTTCCCTCAGCCTTGCTGTGCACCACACGTTTTCAGCCCCAGAGCTTCTCTGACTTGCATTGTGATGTTACCCCAATACAACCTGCAAATGCCAGCACTACCACCTGGTGGGAATCAGCCCTGACCACTGAGTGGCAGGAGCTACCAGACAAACACTTTTTTTCTCCCCCTGAACTATCAGTTATGCTTTGAATTTCACGATACACCTTTGAAATCCTGGTGGGATCGAGCACCAGTCTCTTGCGTATCATCCTACTATGTCATTTCTCCTTGTATTGTTAGTCCCCTTTACCCAGTTTCACTCCTTTGTCTTTTATTTTTTTCCTCAGTACTGGAGATTGAACCCAGGGCCTTCACCCTGAGCTATATCCCTAGCTCTTTTTTTTATTTTTTATTTTTTTGAGATAGGGTCTTGTTACATCATTAAGCTGGCTAGGCTGCCTCAGCCTCCAGAGTGCTTGGATTACAAGTGGATTACATGCCATCACATCCTAGACTCCCCTATCTAATGTTCCTTCTACCTGGGATCACAATCCTAAATGAACTCATTGTGTATTTAGCAGGCACTGAATTTAAGGTTATACAGGGTAAGACAATGTGATTTATCCTCTTTTTTTAAAGACGAGGAAGAAGCTAAATAAGTTGTCTCGGGTCACAATGGATTCCAGCCACCATGACCTTAGGTACTCTGCTATGCTGTCTCATAGTCAGAATTTGGCAGGTGGCAGTCAGTGTCTTAAATTTGGTTGGCCATTCTTGGGGGAGACAGAGAAGTCTGCATGAAACCAATGAAAGTATAGGGCAATCCCAAGTATAAGCAATGCATGCACAGCAGCCTAGCTGACTGAGACACAGGGAAGGGTTCTTGAGATAAAGTGAGGATCAGCACTAACCAGGGACTGAAGAAGAAGCCTAACTTCTCCGCTTGGAAAGTGTGATGTGGGTCACAGACAGGCTGCACTTGGAGGAGGAGGTAGTATCCAGCTCTTCCTGGGCTATCCTGGTTGGCAACCCCTGAGCAGCAAGATGAACTTCAGAGCCACCCTGCAGGAGGGAAGTGAGGAAGATTACTTGTTAGGAACACGGCTGAGTGCAGGGTAACTAGCATCAGCTATCTAGGTGTAATGATATAGACAAATTGATAAGAAACTAAAATTCCTGCTAGCTAGTAATAATAGCTCCCTGACTCAGCACTGCTTTGTCCCAGGCACCACACTGCATGTTTTACATCTCTCATCTTTCCAGCAATGCCCTGATGTAGACACAAGGATTATCCATATTTGAACCATCAGGATTAGAGCAGCAAGTTCAGCAAATGTCACACAGTCAATGAATGATCGCACCAAGGCTGGGCTTGGTTTGTCTAACACCACAGCCACTCCTTTCTTTGTAGCCACTCTTCTAGAATACTGAGTGAAGACTTTTTTGGGAGGCCATTGGACATACTGTAGCAGGACAGTGTGGGCAACACGATCCCAGAGCTAGCCTGTAGGTTGAAATGATTCTAAGAAACAATTAGGAAACTATTTCAATGGTACAGTAGAAAATGAAATGGAACAAAGCCAAGGAGGTAAATTGTGAGTGGCAATGACAGGCCAGAATCTGATCTGAATAGGCTAGGGAGAAGGAGTCTGTGAGTCCCACATACCAAACAAAGCCAAGCATAAGTAAGGACGGGACTTGAGAAGACTCTGTAGCTTTAGTCTGATGAACAGTGATGGAGCTACTCGTAGAAACTGGGACGTGTGTAGGAGCTGGAGGGAAATAATAGGGTCAGTTTAGGCCACAGAGGCCTTTTATGGCAAGCAGATCCCAAAATACTGATTGGATGTAGCTGGGCTCAGAAATGAAATGAGATCTGAGACCTAGATGTAGAACTGTCCTTTGGAGAGTTTCTGTATTAGTCAGCTTTCTATCACTGTGATAAAATACCTGAGATAATCAATTTATAAGAAGGAAACTGTACTTTGGCTAGAGCATCCATGGCTCATTGGGCCTGTTGCTTTAGCCCGTTGTGAGAGGAACATCATCATCATAGGGCATGCACTCAGAGCAAAGCTGCATGCCTTGTGGCACCCAGGAAGCAAAGGGAATGAGAGGGGCTGGCATCCCAATACGTCCTTCACAGACTTGTCCTGTCACCCAACTTCCTCCAAGAGGCCACACCCCTAAAGGCTCCACCTCCTCCCAAGAGCTCCACAGGCTGGTTACCACACTTTGACACAAGAGCCTTTGGGAGGCATTTAAGACCCAAGCCATAACAGTCCAGTAGGCCCCACAGGTAGGGCCCAGGGAGCCAGTCCACTCCTGCAGTGGCTGGGACTCTCTCACTCTGTTGCCACCTGCTCTGTGCTCCCAACTCAGTCCAGAAGCCTATGTGGGCTTTGATCCCACTCTGCGATTTATAAGAAGAAATTCACACTACCTGTCTTGCCCAGTTTGGATTCCAACCTATTTAATGCTAGGAACTACATCTTAAGCTTCTTTTTCTTCTATACCTAATGATATCCTAGTAGATGGTTTATGCAATACCCTATCCGGTTTTTCATTTTTATAAGAATAAATTCCAAACTGCAGTACAGATCACTCTCCTTCAGTTCAAGGCCATTCAGAACAGAAGTGTCTAAATGCAAATCATCCACCCGAAGTGCCTCCATTGCTATCCTTTAAAGCATAGATTTTGTCAGACCTTCCTCCGCATCCCACCCTCAATTTCTGTTATAATCAACATTTGAGTCTCCCACCTTCTTCCTCTGATTGCTGGCCTCAGGCAGTGGAGACATAGGAGCTTTGCAATTAAATTCTCCCCTCCGGCCAAACTGACCCCAAACTGTACTTATGAAATTGCTCAAGTTTATTGATTTTGTTGTTTGTGTTTCTCCACTTTCTGTGGGCGCAGGGGCCCAACACAGGCTGGGCTGCTTTTTTGTGCTACGGAAGGTGGTCTCCTTAGGGCATGGAAGCTTCCCTGGTAGAGAGGAGCTTAGCCCTTCATCCTGCAGATCTGCAGGTCGCTTTGACCACCTTAGCAGGTCTATCATTGCCTGTGGGCAGTTCAGGGCCTCAGCTACCAGGAGAAGCTGCCAGGTAAGTCTGCAAAACACTTTTCCCGGCACAGTGTGAAAATGTGATATGGCAACATGGGTCTGCCCCGGCTTCTTAGCTGTACAGGATTCCACACTGAACAAAGTACAGTTCTTGTTTCTGTGGAACAGCTGCGTTAGTGGGAGAGGTAGATAGGTAAACACATGTAAGATAGCAAATGCACTCTTTTTTGAAAGCAGAACGGTTGCTTATACGCTAGGACGGGAGGGAAAACCCATTAGATGCAGGGCTGCCTTGCCCATCCACCAGACCTACCAGGCCCGGGGCTTTGTGGTTGGGGACTATGATACTTTTAGGGGCCCATGAAAATGCTTTTTCTTTTATTAGAAAAACATGTGAATATAGTGTTGGTAAATATGCAATAATGAATTCGGGCCCCTTGTTTACACCCTTATATTCACACAGCTGAAAAATATAATTTTTATTTCTCTTTTAATTTATTTTGAAAAAAGGCTCTATAAAACCATCACTGCCAATAAATGTCATATAAGGTGGTCTTGTCTTGGCAAGATAACTTCAGCACAGAGTAGAAAACATTCAGGTAAGGTAGGATAGGAAGAGTAGACTTTCTAGGACAGAGACCAACAAATGTATCTATCAAGAATCCCAGCAACTCAGTGATGGTAAGGGACAGCCTGGAGTAAAGGAGTAGTAAAAAAATTGCTAAGGTGTAGGCAGGGGTGTGATAGGTCTTACCAGCCAGGTCTTAGCTGTCAGGGTGGAGTGGGAAGTGGTGGAAGAATCCTCAGCACCAGGGTGACCCTCACGTTGTGTCTGCTTCAAAACAATGTAACACCAGCCCCCCAGCTCCAGAGCTGCGAAGGTGGTGATTTAGCAAATCATATGTTTAAACAGCGTGATGAATTATGCCTATGTTTCTATTTCCTGTTGCTCTCACTTACTCACCACGCTAAACCAAAGCTTGCCAATCCTGTGCCCCATTCTGTCCCAGCTAATACTCCCCTTAAAACATAATCTAAGTAACTACAACTACCCTGACCATGAGCAGCGTCCTCTGACACCTCCTATGCAGAAAAGCAATGGCTTACATGAGGGAGCACACTTCCAAAGGCAGGCAAGGGAAGAGACTGGGGAGCAGTAAGGCTAGGACCTCCATTACACCACCCCTTTTCCTGAAACAGGCCAAGAGCCTCTTGGAAAGGTTGGTGTTGGGCCACCAGCTGCTTTTCTCCTTCTGTTTACAAAGTGCCCAGAGGTCTGCTCAATCAGTGAGCACTTTTGAAGCATGCAGTAAAAGCAGAATGAAAGAACAGGAAAAAAATGTTCATTATGCAGGAATAGGAGAGCCTCCCCCACCTCCTAATGCATGTGTCATTTAAATACACTAGTGAGAGGTGTTCATTATTTCCCCCATTATTTAAAAATGTACTTCAAAGACCCCTCGAGCAGCAGTGTGCCATCACGCTGTTTAAACATATGATTTGCTAAATCACCACCTTCGCAGCTCTGGAGCTGGGGGGCTGGTGTTACATTGTTTTGAAGCAGACACAACGTGAGGGTCACCCTGGTGCTGAGGATTCTTCCACCACTTCCCACTCCACCCTGACAGCTATGCTTTGATAGACAAGGTCAGAAGGAGGACTAAGCAAATCCTGAGGCTGACTGATGGCACAGGAAGTTACTGTTCCTAACACCAGCCAGAGCCCAGTGAGGAGCGGCCCATTGTTGTCAGGGATTCTGGGAGACAAATCCCATGCTCACCCTGCATGGGTGCTGGGGAGGGACCTCAGAAGGCCCCAGCCCAGACTTTTAGGAACAGGTCTTTGTAGGAAAACTTGTTTACAAGAAGTGGTGATCATACAAAAAGACGCATTAAGCACTGATCATGAGCATTAGCAAGGAACACCTTTAAGCATCTGTCTCATGAGTATACCCACGTGTTTATTTACAGTTCTTTAAATTCTAGGATAGAAATGCTTATGGCAAGCCACTGATTATAGAAAATCAAACTCTGATGCATTCATTGATTTGAGAAGAAAATAAGAATAATGGGGATAAAGGTTTCAAACTTTAAAAAAATCAATGTATGTAAATTTATCAAGAAGATAGCTGCTACATAAAGAGACGTGTCTCTCCTTTCTCCCTTCTTTGCTGCAGTGACTGTCAGCTCTTATCCACTGACTGAATTATGCCTATGTTTCTGTTTTCTGTTGCTCTCACTTACCCAGGATCACATACCCTAGACCCAAGGACAAGCCCTTGCTTGTCCCCTCCACACCAGTCTACATACTGTGTGGCCACATGAGTCCTTTACAGATACGTAAAATGTTTTAAGAAGCCAAGGATGAACCCACAGAAAATATGCCTAAAGACCCCTAGGCACTAAATTGCTCTCTCCATGGGTGTGTGGATAGGCTTGGTGATCTATAAGCTGTAGCTACTGTGTTGCTCGGGGAGGCTTCTACCACTGCCCAGACCACAGTCAGGCCCCCCGAGATTCCCCATTTCAGGGTTCCTATATTCAGCCAGTAGCACTACAAATCCACAGTAAGCAGGCTCATTTATTCCCTTTCCTTAATCTCCTGGATGTTGTTAATCATTAAGTCAAGCTATTATTCCCTGGTAATTTCTCACATTCACTCCTGCCCACCCCAGCCTGAAATCGGGAGCAGGCTTATATCCAAGTCTTCTGCTACCCTTCAGTCCCACCCTTAGTTTGTTCAATTTCCCCTCGTGCTATGGCAGACAATCCATGGAGCAGTCCAAACTGAACTACCTATTCCTAGGCATTTCTTTCTGATCATTCCTTCTCCAGCACGGGTGAAGATTGTCACAGAGGCCCCACCTCTGAGCACCACTTCAAACAAGGACACAGAAGAACAAGCCCCAGTGGGAGGCCACGGTCCAGCCCACACTCAGGCTATAAGGAGAAATATTCCTTCTGTCCTGGTTTGTATTTAGATGTCCCCCTAAAGCCT